TCTTAAAATACTTGTACTTAATTCTGGGACACCCTGTATATTTGTTTTTACACTGATAACTCGAAATCTGCCCATGGCGTTGGCTGCGCTTTAAAGCCCTGTTGCTAATAAAAAAATCAGATTACCTGTTTTCTCTAGCATTCTAACAGCCAAACTCACAGCTTTTTATCAGGCTCTTATACAAATTCCGAGTATGTCACCGATTGAAGCATTAATACTATCTAATTCTAACCCGCAACATTCGAGTTCTTGTATATGAACTTATTGAAAGAAATTACAATATCAACTTCATGTGGATTCCTGGACACTCTGACATTGCTGATTATGACCTAGCAGACAAACTGGCTAACGAGGCAACGCTCTTACAGAATCTTGAAGGAACTCACAGACTCACAAGAACAGACATTTTTACAAAAAAGTGTTTCTCAGTATACTTCAGAATGAATGGAACATTCTCGACGGAACTAATAAACTAATATATTTGCTTTCGAACCATTTTTATAAATTCAAGAAGCACTTCAACTGAGAATTACAGATTGACTTAAAACTTATTTCAAAATCGATTTATTTGTAATTACGTTTTAATCGAGGTTTTAATTTATAGATATGAATTAAAAAAAGCTAATAAGTATATTAATTAATTTTATGAAATTATTTCATTCAATAAAAATAGTGTAAGGTTTGTTACAAAACTGTTTTAGATAACAGAATAAGTATTTGTTGCATCGCATGCATAGGTCATGATGACCATAAAGTTTGACCTATGCATTCGAAAAACCTGGACACTTAAAACGTACTTTATAAGAAAACTGTAGGTCGCACAACTCTCAATGGAACGAGATATGCTGGGAATAACAAAAAAAAACGTAAAAGAATAGAGTGGATACGACAAAAACTCAGGTAATAGATGTCATCCACAGAATCCCTCAAGTGGCAGTGGGCAGAACACTTGGCAAAAAGGATAAACAACAAATGGACCACAATGTGATGGTACCCACGAGAAATTAAGAGACCTAGAAGACCAAACCTGAGATGGTACTATGATTAGGAAATTAGCAGAGATAACTTGGGCCCGCGTAGCAAACAATAGACAATAATAGGCCCAACTACAAAGAGAGTATCTAAATATGTAAGGGAGGCTACACCATAATTGGGTACACCGTAATTGGAAATGGTTAAATAAGCTGAAAATGATGATGATGATTTGTTGCATCTACAATCACCGGCACGAAAAACGGGCATCTTAAAATGTTGAAATAATGAATTGAAACAGCCTGTGGAATATGTTAACACCATAGTAAGGAATTTAACATTCATTTTATCATCTAGGTATATCTTTTCTCGATAGTTTGATTTTTGATTCATGTCAATAAATTAAAAATTAATAAAAATAAATTATAATTTAAAATTAAAAATCAAAATGGGATAATGAATGAAAATTTAACATTTCAAATGAATTTTTAATTGGAGATATTAATACTTTTTAAAGTCATTGCTGTTCTTCGTATTTTTGACTAAATATTTTTGTGGTATTATATAAAAACAGTAGTTCCCTGATAGCTTATCTAGATATGTAAATTTTTCCAGTTGTAAAAAGCTTCGCGGAAGACGCGGGTTCAATGCCAAAGCGTCTGGCTAATTCAAATGACTAGTCTACTGCTAAAATGTTTCTGTTGTAATACAAAAACAAAGCTTAAACAAGGTCGACAGTTTATTTTATGTATAAATAAGTATGTAATTTTCTCATTTTTATCACCCAGTACGACTATTTTATAAATTTAAAAAAAGAAAGAATAAAGTCAACTATGAAATTAAACATATTCGAAAAAATGGTTCATGGTCAGGTAGAATTATTAATTAAATTATATTTGTGAATGATATTTTTCAAAATTAGCATTTTCTTTCAAATACATTTAATAATTTTTGTATTAATGTCATTAAAACTAATTTTGTATCAACTCACAGCTTGAAAGTATGCTTAGTCGTGTTAATAAAAAAATTGCATGAAGTTGTAATAATGACATTGATGGTCGTGTATAAATATGGTAACTTGACACCGTTTTGTATATATTTATCACAAAAAATGGCATTTAGTGTATAATTACACAAATTAAAAAATAACAATTACTAAACAATGAAAAAATGGATACCTACTGAACTATATTTTACCAAAATATTTTAATATTTCTATGGATATTACTTATAAGTACCGCAGTTTTTTCCAGATTGTTTCAGGTGAATTCTGTTAATTAATAAGTTAGTAAGAAAAATGACAGTAGGTTGATAAGAAACAGTATTTTAGAAAAAATAAAAAACAGAATATTTAAATGGGCTGGCCAAGCAGTTATTACGAAGAATTCATATGCAATGTTTTAACATAAAACCACAACTATATTTGTACATGCTTGTATTGTGGGAAATACACAGTGATTTTAAAATATTATGGCGATTATTGTTTTCAAACTTTAACATATTTATTTATTTAAAAAATGAAAATTGTAGACTTAATTTAAAAATCGTTCCTGTGTTCGTTTGTATTCTTTAAATGCCAGCTTAATCACATTCTACAAAATTAGAAAAAAAATCTATTTTACTTCTCCGAATATTATCATCACCATTTCCAGCCCATTCCACCATTTCCAATTATGGTTGTAATCTCCTACATATTTAGGTAATCTTAATCTTCTTGTAATTCGGCCCATTGTTGTCCATTGTTGACTATTCAGGTTCAAGTTATCCCTGCTAATTTCATAATGTATGATCATAGCCTCATCTCAGGTTTGGATTTACTCTAGGCCTCTTAATTTCTCGTGGGTACCATGTTGTAATTTTTGTGGTCCATCTGTTGTTCGTCCTTTTTGTCAAGTTGTCAAGCCCATTGGCACTTGAGGAATTTGACTTTGTGAATGACATCTATTACCTGGATCTTTTGTCGTATCCACTCTATTTGTTTACAGTTTTTCATTTTTATTCCCAGTATATTTCTCCGAATATATCGCCATATTAATGCGAATTCGTTTGATCAATACATTTCTGTTTGATCAATTAAGTGCATGTTCTGACGAATGAAAAAACATTCATTTATTTTTTGTTATAAGTTGAGTGGTACGAAATATAAAATATAAATAAATTGGATAAATTTAGCAAAGTAATATAAATTTCTTAAAGTTAGTATTAATCAAATAGGCAATTATATCAATTATATTTATATTAATTGTAATAAGCGTTTACTTTTTTGGTATTGGTTTGGTGTTATACCTACTATATTTTTCTTTTAGAGTTTTATCTGTTTTTACTTCTTGTGTTCTTTTATTTGGAAATGAAAGTAATAATCTCGCTTATAAAACTAAAAATATTAACAAAACTAAACAAATCCACTACTAAATTTATTTTTGATAAAAAAATACATACACGGTGTCCCAATATTCCCTGGACATAGAACTACTACGTATTTTTGGAATCAAAATAAGTTCATTGGACACGATTTACCTCTATAAAAAAGTACTTCGTTTGTCCGCTAGAGGGCATCAAACTTTAAAAAAATGAACACATTTTTTCAAATATTTTAAGAACCGTTATTCCGATTTGAATGAAATTTTGGAAGTCTCTGTTTTGCTAAGAGCTTTAACATTTGGCGTTCACAAAAATCAAGAAAAAATAAGGGAAGGGTGAAAACTACCCCCACACCTATATAAATTTTAGTTAAATATTTTCCAACTTCATCGCCAACAGATTTTCTTTTCGTAAAATGGCCCTCTAGTATTTACTACCTTTTGTTGTCTCTTGTAAAAAAAACGCCACATCGCATAGTTTTTGTGAAAAACTTTTTTGAAGAATTTATTTTTTCAAAGCACCTACAAAATATGCAGGGTGTTCCAACATTTCGTGGACATAGAACAACTACTGGTTGTTAAGTTAATTGCACAGAATTTATCTTTATACAAAAGTGCTTCATTTGTCCGTTAGAGGGCATCAATCACAGATAAACCCCAACATTAATTAATTTTAAAATTATTAATTTTTCTATGCTTTTTATGAAGCTTATCGTCAAGTACAATTTGCGATACTAACATAAAATTCCATTATTTCGACAATTAATGACATTAAGATTATGATAGCATAATAGATTTTATGCGCCTCCATAACTTAATGTGACAAAATACATTTTATGGAAGTCAGCTTTGGAAAATTAATTTTTCTCCTCAAAAAGTATGCAGGGTGGCGATTTTTTACAAAAAATATAGTAAATACTAGAGGGACCATTTTACGAAAAGAAAATCGGCCGTCGGTGGACTTGAAAAATATTTATACTAAAATTTATGTAGGGGTATGGGCTCGGGTATGGGTAGTTTTTACCCTTCCCGTACTTTTTCTTGAATTTTACGACAGTCAAATGTTAGAGCGCTTAGCAAAACATAGACACCCAAAATTTCATTCAAATCGGAATAACGGTTCTTAAAATATCTGAAAAAATTTGTTTATTTTTTTAAAGTTTGATGCCCTCTAGGGGACATTTGGAGCACATTTGTATAGAGATAAATTGTGTCCAATGAACTTATTTTGATTCCAAGAATACCGTATGATCGAATAAAAACGGCGTCAGCGATGGCTATGAAATGAAGATCGCTGTCATTTTATATGTAAATTTATATGGGTTTTATATGTAAATTTATATGGGAAATGTCATTGATCGTCATTTCCCAGCCAACTGGACGCCGTTTTTTTTCGATCATACGGTACGTAGTTCCATATCCACGGCATATTGGGACACCCTGTATATTAACCATGAATGCTTCTCGATATTTGTTACATGACTCGTCAAGAGTACGTAATTACCGTAATTCGTAATATAAAAGATATTTTTCTTATTAATTCCAATTTAATTCATACAACAAATCTCTTATCAGTAAGGTCAGAAAGTCAATCTTAAAAATTTGAGCTATTTTTATAACGGCGATTAAATTTTTAAGTTGCATTACATAATGATTATAGTTAAATGATATTTACATGTCTGGTAAAGATGACCTGTAAAGCCAGTATTCAATTTAAATATATCTAATCAATATACCTATCAAATAAAGTAATCAAATTTATTTTATATTTTTTAGAAAAAAATGTTTTCTTCGTTCGTTCCTATAGGGTGTGTCCATTAATTAAGGCTACCAACGCAAAAACGGCCTAATCCAAAAAATTTGAACTGAATGATATTTATTTTATTAAATTCATTTTGTATCTAAATAAAAATAAAAGTTTTAAGCTACAAAATTTGCTTCCTTAATAGTTTTCATGTAATTATCTATATTGGCCTACAAACTTTGCAAATAAACTCATAAAGAAAAACGGCCTAATCCACACATCACATTTTTTTTAGTAATCAACATTTATTATACAAATAGTTATTAAAGTTTATTAAGTCTAAATTTTAGTTCATTAGGTTTTTAGGCAAATATTTGCAGCAAAATATCAAAATATTGTTCGAAAATTAAACTAGTAGCGTTATTGTCACTAAACTTTATTCCAAGTTTTCTCAAAGCGAGCTTTTTGGGGCTAGGCCGTTTTTGCGCTGGTAGCCTCAAGTGTAAATTATGGCTAAAAATATTAGTAAATATTTAAACATTACTTAACTATACCCTATACAATGTATGTTTTTTATTACAACTTTTTAACTTTTATTTACATTTAATAGTTTTCTAGCCGTTACAATGTATTATCGCAAACACGCCAAAATTATCTTCAATCACTTCGAATACATCACATTTAAACACTGTAATATCAGCACTCCCAGTTTTATTATAGATATAAAATAATCTTTGCAGACGATGATAAAGAATTTCTTATCCATGATATTAAGTCATTAAAATAGTTTTCCTTCGTTAGTATTTTAGTATATTGGAAATTTACAGGTCTTTAATCCTATAATCATCACTTAATTGAATTTAACTGAAATTATATTCCAGTTTTAAAATCGGGATTTTGATATCGGGTTTACAAGAAACAATACGTAACCATATTCGATATTTAAGTGTAAAAGATAAAAATAAAAAGCTATTAAACTGATTAATTTTAATTAGATTTCTACTACTACTACACAAGTAACAGTAAAATTAAATTAACATTGTAAATAGTAACGAGCAAATGTAAGACCAAGGCTAAAACTTAATAATATAGTACTCCCTTGGTCTTGCTTTTGCAGAGTCCAGTGTTGCAAGACTTGTAACGCCGGGACCCCATTAGCCAACACCCAACGTGATGCCACGCGATGCCACGCTTTGCGACGTGGGAATGGGTGTACACATTAGGTAACACGTGTTAACACGCCTGAATTTTTTATTACAGTTAAAAAAGTTATCAGTAGGGTTACGAAAATATACTAGAAGCTTTGCTAGAAGTATCGATACCCATACCGATATCCGATATTAGATTATAATCACAATACCAATATATTCAGAATCGAATATCGATAATTAATAAGATCAATCTTTTGTTACCTATTTGTTCTGGTTCTATTTTGTTATATCTGATGTTGAATCGATTCAAAATATCGATTTATTTTATTTTTGGGACATCCCTACATCAACTACAAAAGTAGATAGCTGCGGGACTAGAGAGGCAAGCGGAGGACAACACGCCGTAACACACATCGGTTAGATCTGGGACTGACGAATCGCCCATCACACGTGTGATAGCGTGTTATGGCGTCGGATGGCGTGGCGTGTTGCCTAGTGAGTACGCAACATACATATGTATTTAAATGGGAAAACATACGCACAGATCTTCACGACGTGGGGTAGCATGGCATCGCGTCGGGTGGCGTGTTGGCTAATGGGATCCGGGCTTAAGTCTTACAATTTTTAATAGATTTTTACTACAGGCTCTTTCTATCAAATGTCAATAACGACTATCGGGCTTCTAAGGTCATGGCAGACGTTTTTGAAAGTAACAAAAATTATCTAATTTTAAAAGTATTTTAGTATAAATCTGTTTGAGTTATTCATCTTATTCGACACGGAATATTGTAGCCACACGATTAGATTTTTAGAAATTGTGAGTGATGGGATCGTTGGAGAACTACTAAAGCTACAATTTAAATTATTTTCATATGATACAGAGTGTCCCAAATAAATAAATATCAAAGTTGTATTTTTTAAATATAACACCCTGTATATTATTACATTTTTAGTTTCTACAATTAAAATAAAGCTAAACTCGAATTTTTTATTTTTCTATTATTAGTGGCGTAGCAAGGCGAGGGCGGAGGGGGCGGTCCGCCCCGGGCGGCGTCCGTCCAAGTACCTGCGGGGCGACAAAAAAGTGTTACAAAGGCGACGGATTGACTCTGTAGGGGCGGCAAACCTCTCTCCTAGAGGCTCTCCGCTCCGGGCGCCCCTAACCCACGCTACGCCACTGTTTAAAACTTTACGGTGTTTTTAATAGTTTTTTTTTTCATTATAGAATGACGTAAAAACATTTAATATAACGATGTGAACTAATTTTTATTCGAAAATATATTTTTGTCACAATAATTTTCATTGATTTTTCCGGGTTTAGAAGAGCCGAAATGTGATAGGAAGATAAAAACTACATATTTTTGTTTGATTAATAAGTTGCTATAATTTTTCTATATTATATTTATATTATTAACTTTTTCCGCAGAAATGTATCATAAGGGCGGTGTAATAGAAAATCTTCTGTTGGTTTTTGTGGTTTATTTATTAAAGAAACAAATAACAATATATATAATCATTAAACAAACTATCAACTAATCAGGACAAAAATAGAGTGGCTTGTTACATCTTCTTGCTTAATATTACCACTACTAATAATACAGAAAACAGTGTTGCCACCGTTAAAGACCAGACAGGTTTGTAGTTGTATATTGGGTTACATACATTAACACCCTCCCGCAAACCTGGCTATTCTTTAATACTTAAACTTTTAACAAAATAGGAAAACTTTTCATAACATAATGACTTTGAAAAACGTCTGCTAGTTGTTCATTTGTACAAACATATTTTACGTTAATAATTCCATTATTTATTAAATCTACAACAAAATGAAATTTTACATCAATGTGTTTACATCGTTTGTTATTTTCAAAATTTTCAAGTAACTTTATAGTACTTTGATTATCTTCATACAATGAAATTGGTATAGAAATTGAAATATTCAACTCATCTAACAAATTTTTAATATATATCAGTTCACAAGAAGCAGCGCAAACAGCAACAAATTCTGATTCAGTACTCGAAAGAGTGACTATCGTCTGCTTTTTGGAACTCCAAGATATCAAACTATTAAATAACTTAAAACAATAACCAGTTACAGATTTTCTATCTGAAGAATCATTTGCCCAATCTGCATCAGTATAACAAATTAATTCTTCATCCGAGTAACTAAAATATAGCTTATAGTTTATGGTCGACTTTAAATACTTTAGAACTCTTAACAGATGATGAAAGTGTTCATCTGTAGCATAATCTTGAAATTTGCTAAAATAACTTACACTAAAACAAATGTCAGGTCTTGATCCCATCATTATATACATTAAACTACCTAAAAGTTCTTTATATGGTAATTTAGTTTTTAAAAGTTCATCAAGATTTCTTTTTAAATTTAAATTCTTTTCAATAGGTGTCTTAAAATTTCTACAATTCTCAACATTGAAACGTTTAACTATCTTTTCAATTGCTAATGTTTGATCTATTGTTATAATTTTATTCTTAATATCTCTTTCAATTCTAATTCCTAAGAAATTGTATTGATCACTTAATTTGTTCATTTTAAATGTTTTAATTAATTTAGTTTTCAAATCGTTTAAGAAATTCTCATCACTGCAAGCTATTAAAATATCATCTACATAAATCAACAGATAACATTTTAAGCTTCTATCAAAATAATTATATAAACAATAATCTGATTTTGATCTCTTAAATTTTAAATTAACCATAAAACTATTAAATCTATCATTCCATGCTTTAGGTGCTTGTTTAAGACCATAAATCGCTTTATTAAGTAAAATTACTTTATCTTTGTCTTTTTCAGAAACTTGTAGCCCTTCTGGAATTTTCATAAATACTTTCTCTTTTATTTCACTGTTTAAAAACGCATTTTTCACATCAAGTTGTACTAAAAATAAATCAAATTTATTACATATTGACAATAAAATTCTTAAAGTAGAAAGTCGTGCCACTGGCGCATGAATTTGATCATTCAAATAATATTGCTCGAAACCTCTTGCAACTAGGCGTGCTTTATAAACTTTTTCACCTTCTTCGTTTTCTTTAATTTTAAACACCCATCGATTACTTATTATTTCTTGATCTTTTTCCTTTTTAACTAACTGCCATGTATTATGTTCTTTGAGTGCATTAAGCTCTTCTTCAATTGCTTTGTTCCAATATTGCCATTGCGTACTTTCTTTAGCATCACTATAAGAAGTTGGGGTATCACAAAACTCACCTAACAAAGCCATACGGTTAAAATTTACTTCATAATCTTCTAACCTTCTTGGTAATTTTCTTTCTCTTTTTGGTCTTGTATATTCATTATTCTCAATTATATTTTCATTTCTTTGGTCACTTTCAATAAACTCTTCTTGTTCTTGATCTTCAATCTCTTCATTATTCTCATTTTCATTTTCATCACTATCACTATCAATTTCTGGTAATTTTCTTTTAAAATAATATTCCTGTTCATTAAAAACAACATCCCTTGAAACAAATACTTTCTGCTCTTCCACATTCCACAATCTATAACCTGTAGTCGTATAACCAATCATAATAGATTTTTTTGATTTCTCATCAAATTTATTTCTAAACTGTGTAGGGATATGCACATATGCAACACATCCAAATACTCTCATATTTTTTATATTAGGTTTTGAGCCATTCCATAACTCTGCAGGTGTTAAATTATTTTCATTAGCATTACTCGGACTTCTATTTAAACTGTATGCTGCAACTCTTATGGCCTCACTCCAAAAAACTTTCGACAAGTTTGCTTCCTTTATCATAGCTCTAGCCTTTTCTACCAAACTTCGATTAAAACGTTCTGCTTTCCCGTTTTGTTCAGGCGTGTATGGATTTGTAAAGTCAATAAAAGTTCCATTTGTTCTGCAAAAATTTTTAATTTCTCCTGAAATATATTCTCTGCCATTATCACATCTAAGAACAGAAATTTTTGAACTAAATTTTGTTTGCACCATTTTCACATAATCAACAAAACAGTCAAACACTTCACTTTTTGCTTTAATAATATACACAATCACAAAATTAGAATAATCATCTATAAATGTAACAAAATACTTGCCATTATCATGACTTGTCGGAGTAATAGGACCAGCCACATCACTATGAACAATTTCAAGAACTCTTTTTGCTTTTGACCTTGTACCAAACTTCAATCTAGTCATCTTACCACTAACACAAGACTCGCAAAAATCAACTTTTCCAATTTTAACATTTTCAATACCATTTACCATTTTATTTTTAATTAATTTTTCTAAATTCGAATAGCATATATGACCTAATCTTTTATGCCATATTTTAGTTACATCATTTTCTGTTTCTGTATTTAAACATTCTACATTTTGAACTCTAAAACTTATTTCGTACAAATTATTTCGATATCCTAAACCTATTAAAATTTTATTATTATAAAGACAAACCTGTCCATCTGCAAAGACTACTCTTATACCTGCCATTTCTAAACGTTTGACAGATAACAGGTTTCTCCTTAAACTCGGAACATAAAAAACATTTTTCACAGTACATTTTACCTCTTTTCCGTAAACATTACTATACATATTTATATTACCTACACCTGTAGCTATCATAAAATTGTTATTCTTTGCCACTGCAATATTTATAGGATTTTTTAAATACATAAAATCGCTGAAAAAAGACTTGTCACTTATTAAATGATCTGTACACCCAGAATCAATATAAAACAAAAGTTTATCTGTACTTACAGTTTCATTCTTATTTGCTTGATTTGTCATAAAACATATATTTTGTCCACCTTGTACATCACTTTGCACTTCATTTTCTGCATATTGTCCATCAGGCTGTCCATCAGGAAAATTTTGTCTGCCCTGTCCATTTCCTCTAAATCCACCTCTTGAACCTCTCATTACACCTCTTGGACCTAATCTCTGATTGTTGATAAAACCTCTATTGTAACTTCTAAAAGCACTTCCTTGTTGACCACCTCTTTGGAAATCACCTCTATGCCCTCGATTTGACCTACAGTCCCTTTTGAAATGTCCACGTTTGCCACAAGTATAACATAAACCTTGATTGGGTATTGTATTGTTAAAAGCTGCTGGCTTTGCGTAACTATCGCTATTATCATTTACAGATTTTCTTCTCTCTACCTCAGCACGAAGTTTGCTTTTAACAAAATCTACTGTCAAATTATCTGCTGGTACACTTTCTATTATATTTACTATTGTCTCTAGGTTTTTAGGCATAGCTAGTAATAATGTGCACACAATGTCTTGTTCCTTTAAATCTACCCCGCTAGCCTCCAATTGACGTACCACTAGGTCAAATTCACTTAAAAATTCTTCTAATTTAAAGATATCGCTCAGTTTCATAGACATAAATTTTTTTCGTAACATCAACTGTCCTGGAATGCCCCTTTTTTCGTATCTTTCTTTCAAACTTTTCCACATACCATAGGCTGTCTTGTCATCTCTTACGATTTCAATCTGGCTATCATGTAAACACTGTATTATTAAACTTTTACATTTATTGTCCTTTTTTCTTGCTTCTTCCCTCTTCTTATCATCATTATAATCATCTTCCTTAAATTCATTAATTATAAACTCATAAACATCCTTTTCTTCTAATAATACGTTCATCCTGAATTTCCATGTATAATAATTTGACCCTGTTAACAATTCTACGTTGAAATTATTTTTGTTACTTTCCGCCATTTTTTTCTTTAAAGCCTTCTCTTCAAGATTCGATGATATTTTTAAATTGTTTCGGATTTCCACAGTTTTTTAGAGTTCTGGGCCCATAACCTGTTGGTTTTTGTGGTTTATTTATTAAAGAAACAAATAACAATATATATAATCATTAAACAAACTATCAACTAATCAGGACAAAAATAGAGTGGCTTGTTACATCTTCTTGCTTAATATTACCACTACTAATAATACAGAAAACAGTGTTGCCACCGTTAAAGACCAGACAGGTTTGTAGTTGTATATTGGGTTACATACATTAACATCTTCAATACTTCGAAGTTTTCCATAGTATTCCCAACTTTTTTACATACTTTCGGTTTGGTTTTACTTGGTTTGGTTGTAGTCAGTGGCGGATACAGAGGGGGCGCCCATGGGGCCCGGGCCCCCTTAAAATCTGTAAATTGGGTTAAATATTAGGCTTTTGGGTTAAAAATGGCGCTCTAAAAGGCATATTTTGCATTATTTTTTGGGCCCCCCCCCCTAAAATAAATTTCTGTATCCGCCCCTGGTTGTAGTGGGTTTAGTTGGTTTGGTTTGGTTGTTTTTTTAAGGTTTGGTTTGGTTTAGTTGTCGTTTTTATGCTTTATTGATTTTTTTTTAAATTTTCGCATTTATTGACCATAGCGATATTAAGTTGTTAAAAATAGATATTATTCATTGATCTGTGTCAAAGGTCGGGTAGAAGATCACTGCATAGTGGTGAAACAACACATTTCCGTGGATTTTCATTTTTGTTGCGGTGCTTAAAAATAAGTCTACAATATAAAATAATATTAATTTTTTATATATCTCATTTCGTTACTTCTAAACCATATTCAAAAAATGGAAACAGCGCATTTCCGCGGAAGTTCATTTTCGTATTATAGTAGTTACAAAGACGTCTAAAATATGAAATAACATTAATTTTTCATGAATGTCATTTCGTTACTTTTAAACCGCATTCAAAAAATGGTGACGCATTTCCGCGGCAAATTTTTTTCTGTATTCCATAAATATGTTCTTATTTTAATATAACAATTGTCAAATATATAGTGTTTATTTTTTTAATTATCAATTTTATCGGGGGATTTTAATAATATTAAACGAAAACCTAAATCCACAATAGTTATTATTATTATAAAATAGATATAATAATATGATAGATTATATTATATATGCATAGATTAGATCTTATATTGTGGTCCTTTTCTGATCCTTAGGTTACATTGTCCAATTCTCCTGATAATGTTCTAAATATAGTATATCCAACAAGAGGATAATATAGTAGAGTGACAGTCTTGTCTTTTAATTTACAGAAAAATTGTATTTTTTGTCAATTTTTCCGTTGTCTCTCGAAATCTTCATTTATCGTTGGTATATCTCATTTCGTTACTTCTAAACCATATTCAAAAAATGGAAACAGCGCATTTTCGCGGAATTTCATTTTCGTATTATAGTAGTTACAAAGACGTCTAAAATATGAAATAACATTAATTTTTCATGTATGTCATTTCGTTACTTTTAAACCGCATTCAAAAAATGGTGACGCATTTCCGCGGCAAATTTTTAACATTGAAAATGTTTCTGTTATCCTATATAAGGGAGCCCAAATCGAATTAAAATGCTACATTTGCCACACCATGACGTCAAATATACAAGGGTATAGGAAATCTCGTCGCAGCGGCGGCAGTCGGCCAGCGCGCGCAAAAACCATTACATCGCTAATTGTTTATTGATATATCTTTATTAGTTTAAAAGCAAAACATATGGGGTTTGCTTTGATACTTTGTCAAGACATAAGCGAAACTTTTAAATTGTTTCTTTTTTTCATTTAGGCCTTCGTTTTTCGTTAAATGAAAGTTATATTAAAAAAAAATCTATTTTTAAACCAAATTTTCGCATGACTGAAATGATTATTCATGTTTAAAGTTTTTTTTGGTCATAAGCGCTAATGGAAATGTTTTTTTGCAAATAATTATAAAAAATTACTCCCTACGAAGACTTTATTGTGTACTGGATCAAAAAATAAGTATTTGTTTTCTCTATACGGTGGTATTAATATATCGATTTTTGATGATAGTGCCTTTTTACCCTGTTTAATTTTGTACTACTTTCGGAATAAGGGTCCCCATATCATGTACTGTGATGTACTGTACTTCCATCCCTGAAAAATTCAGCTTGTGACACCGAAGTGAGAGGTAACGTCAAAATAAGCTTTAATCTACCTACATCATCATAGGTAGGTGTAGGTACTCTAGGTAAATTCTACCTAGACAGTAGCTGAACTAGCTGACAGTAGTAATTAATTTGTTATCCGATAAGTAGTTGTCATTATATAAGTTTAATCGTCTTATACCTCCTATAACGGTAGGTTTTGGATTTTTCCTGATTGGTTTGTTAAACAAAAATATACTGGGCATATAAATGTCTGTTACAGGTTAATTCGTTAAAGAAATATGTTACACACATATTATTTTAATAATAATAGTATAATAGTAATGGCTATATTATGTTATAACACATTATTGAATTAACAATTGAAAACAGTATTGAATGTACTTATTTTAACCAATGCATTGTTTTGTTTTTTTAATCTCACAAATAAGAAATATTTTATAGTTTTTATTATAAAAAACAGTGATTATACAATTTATTTACACCCCTTACACTGTTTTCTGTAAGGGGTGTAACCAGGAGTATATTTCGTAACCTTTTACGATATAAGAGGGCACAAAGTGTTTTATTACTTAATGCTTAAAATTTAATAATATATTTGTACATAAAATAAAATAGACTAGAAAGTCAATTAATTAATATTGACGTAATTACTAAATAAGTACAAGATTTTTTTTCTAATTATTTTAGTGTATTTTTAGTCACCGAATTATAAAGGAGAGATATCCAACCATTGCATTATTTTACTCACAAATAAATGTTTTATGGTTTTTATTATAAAACAACGATTAATTTATTATACACCCCTTAACCCAAACACTCCAAGGAGGATATTTCGTGACCCCGTATTTAAAGTGGACAAGGTTTATTAGTCAATGTTTTAATTACCCAGCGTCTTTAATAAAAATCTAATGTAATTTTTCATAGAAATGATCTGACATGAAAAGCAAATTTTATCAAAAAACTTTTTGATTATCTACAAGGAGTAAACCGCTGACAAATGTCTGTATACTAATGCCAAAGTAATGCCAAAAATACAAATTAAATACCAAAATTTCTCATATAATGCCCCACTAATGCCAAGCTGATTCCAATATAATACCACTAATACCACGAATAATATGTAACACATTTGTTTCACGAATTAACCTGTAACAATACTGGTAGGTACGTGCACAGATTTTTTCCTAGGTAACTTAAAAGTCGTTAAAAAGTCTAATTATATTTAAAGAAGATATAATTCCAACAAATTACATTATAAGGCCAATAATGCACAAGTAATACCATTAAAATTTTAGCGTTTTTAACTTGTGTAACATATTTCTTTAACGAATTAACCTGTAACAATAGTGGTAGGTACGCGCACAGATTTTTTCGCTAGGTAACTTATTAAGTCGTTAAACAGGCCTATAAAAGCTATAACAACATAGGTAACTAATATTTATAATTTAATTCGAGTTTTAATCTCAAATAATAAATGTTTTTACTGGTGTATTTCTGAAGTGTTCATTATTAAAAGTAGATATTCTTCAAGTTATGCGAAGTAATAAGTAATGTTTCCGGTGAGACCGCGTATATGTCACCGGATTCTGGTTAGTATAAAGACTTTTTCTATAGAAAGAGTTTTTTCTATATTTTCCTTTCAAAATAAGACTAATTTCTTCTTATTCTTTTAAATATTACAGTGTTTCTTTTTCCTAAAATGTTATACTTAATTTTCGCTTAAAATTAAAAAATCACAAATGGAGGAAAATATACGTTATTGAATAAAGTTTATACAAATCACTTTACCATAACAAAAAAGTAAAAACATGTCATGGCGGAAGATATTCAGGTGGCATTTCACACATTTATCTATTAAAATCGAGATTAAAATAATAAACTTGCGTAACATGTTATACACGAGATAGAAAGTTTCAGAATCGATTAATACGCAATACGCTACGCAGTCAACTTATTCCTATGCGCGGATGAGCGTCTTCAAGACTCTTCCTTCGGCCAGGGTCACGACGCCGCCGAAGAGGAATCGGCCTACGTTTGGCTAAACAGGCTGGACACGGTGGAGTACGATATTGGCGAGTCTGAATATTATAAAAATTTGCAAAGTAAAATATGTTGGAAAAATAATTAGTCCATACATATATAAAAGCTCAAAGGGTTTTTTTGTTGCATCCATCCCGCCGAAAGCGCTTTACCAATCTTGATGATTCTTTTTTTAAATGAAAGGTATATATGTGTAGATTTGTTATGAAGTATTTTTATAGTGCTTAATGGCTATTTCTTTGTGTAAAACGACTAAATACTAAAACATACCTGAAAACACCTACACACAATACCTCCAGAAATAAATTAGTTGTCATTGTCAGTGGTGTGTCAGTTAGATTATATATTACGTTTTTAGATATTTTAGAGTGAGTTGATGCCGCCAGCTTTAGATACATAAATATTAGCACAAAGGTTCGTTTAAACGACATTAGTGAATTAGCTACACAAAGCGATTTTAGGAAATTCATCCTCTTAGAGAGTAAAATTATCTCGGAACAGTTTGTTGTATGAAAATTCCTTACTATTTCGTCTAGAAGAATGAAATCCTACAAAAAGAATTAGAAGAAATTTTTGAAATTCATCAACCAAATGGGTAAAGTTAGTAAAAATTTATATAAAACTTGGTGACGTCTGGATTATACACATAAAAATTGGCACAAAGGTAAAGCGAATTTATGAAATTTATACCCTTAGGGAGTAAAATAGGGAATGAAAGTTTGCTGTACGAAAATGCAATACTATAACATTATAAACCAGACAGTATAAAATTTTATACAAGGGTTTATTTAGTGACATCATAAGGAAATATATCTTCCTCAATTATCCTTCAAAGAATAAAAAATAACCTATAAAGAGAGTATTAGTGCTCTTAATAAATAAAAAAAAGATGAAAAATAAAAAACATCTATATGTTCACTAGCTCTCTATAAAGAAGTAAAAAATCATTTAAATCAATGCATAAACGATTCGAGGTGTAACGCGAACGTAGTTGCGAGAAAAAGCTAGTAATTTATTAAATTATTTTATTTAACTCATTAATTTTCATTGAAAAGGAAT